TCGGCCGACAGTGGCCTGGCGCCCTGGGGGGCAGCTCTCGCGTCACTGCAGTGGGCACTCATCGACCTGCCACTCCTCATTCCAGGAAACCTTCGATGCTGGCCTGCAGGCCTTCCAGCAGGAGGGCATCGCCAACATCACCGCCCTCAAAGACCAGCTGGTGGCCGCCAAACACGTGCAGTCGAAGGCCATCGAGGCCCGGCACGCCTCCCTCATGAAGAGGTGGAGCCAGCTGCTGGCCAACTCGGCCGCCCGCAAGAAGAAGCTGCTGGAGGCTCAGAGTCACTTCCGCAAGGTGAGGGGGCCGGGGGCGGGCTGCGATGGCGGCACGGAGGTGGCGTTGGCAGAGGCCACGGCAAGCCAGACCTTTGCCTGGGGAGGTGCTGCTCCCCGGCCCAGGACAGACACAGGCACGCGCCAGGGGCCGAGGGGGCAGGTGTGGGGGACGCCCCCGCCTTTCCTGCTCCAAACCCGCCACCCCCCGCCCAGGACGGCGCCTCGGCCCGGCCCCTGATCCATTCCACTGCTCCAGGTGGAGGACCTCTTCCTGACCTTCGCCAAGAAGGCTTCGGCCTTCAACAGCTGGTTTGAAAACGCGGAGGAGGACCTGACGGACCCGGTGCGCTGCAACTCCCTGGAGGAGATCAAGGCCTTGCGCGAGGCCCACGACGCCTTCCGCTCCTCCCTCAGCTCCGCCCAGGCCGACTTCAACCAGCTGGCCGAGCTGGACCGGCAGATCAAGAGCTTCCGCGTGGCCTCCAACCCCTACACCTGGTTCACCATGGAGGCGCTGGAGGAGACCTGGAGGAACCTGCAGAAGATCATCAAGGTGCGCCCCGCCCCCAGGGCCAGCCCGGGCTGTCGCAGAAGCGGTCAGCGCCGCGGGGGGCCGCGTTCCTGCGTGCTCGGCCCGGCCGCAGGGGACGAGCGCCGCCCGCTGTGTCCGCAGGAGCGGGAGCTGGAGCTGCAGAAGGAGCAGCGGCGGCAGGAGGAGAACGACAAGCTGCGCCAGGAGTTCGCGCAGCACGCCAACGCCTTCCACCAGTGGATCCAGGAGACCAGGTGCCTGCCGGCTGGACCCGCCCCACACCTGGCCCGGGGGGCGGGGGGGCACAGAAGGGCCGGCCCGGCCTGCTCAACCCTGGAGCCGGAGGTGGGCCCTGCCCGCCCCAGAGGAAGTCGCTGGATGTCCTGGCCCGGGTGCGAGCACGCGTGGCCCAGTCAGCCCGCAGCAGCTCGGCCGCGATGGCGGCGCAGGCTCACGCAGTGTGGGGCTCTGACGTTCCTGGTTTTGTTTTTCTTCTTTCTCGTGTCTTCTCTGTCCCCCCCGCCCCGACTGCCGCTGCCGTGTGGACACCACCTGTCCGGCTGCTTGGATCCCCGCTCCGCAGAACGTATCTCCTCGATGGGTTAATATCGTCTTCTTCTTTCCCGGGCTCGCGTGTGCTGTCTCGTGTGCTTGTCCGTCTGCCCCCGTCCCCGTGGCCTGGCTTGCAGAGGATCCAGGATGGGCCTTGGTGCCCGGGCAGGCTGTGCGGCCCCTGCCCCCACACCCCTGCCCCTGCCCCCGCCGGAGCCCCTCCCGCCTTCCTGTCCAGACTCCAGGGGTTCTGTCCGGGGAGGAAAGGTGCCCAGGCGAGGACGCCAGAGCCTCCCCGGAGCCTGGTGCCTGTGCAGCCGCGGGGCCACGTCAGACTTCCCTCATGTCCATTTCCCTGTCTGCCCAAAGGGGCCAAGTTCAGCGCAGGCGGCCAGCGGGTGTGAAGCCACAGGGAGCTGGCAGGCTCAGGCTGGTGCAGTCGGTGCACAGCTGGGGGGGGGGGGGGCTGTGTGGTGACGCCCCCCAGGGCTGAGGCAAGGAGGGAGGAGATCAGAGCTGTGCCCTGCAGAGAGCAGGCGTGTCCAGCGCTGCCTGGGGAGGGGGCCGCCGGGCTCACCCAGGCTGCAGCCGCCCACACGGCCACCGTTGAGGTTCTGCAGACAGGAATCCGGCGAGGGCCCCGCCGACCTACGCCGTGGCGGTGTCTGGCTTGAGCCCCGGGACCCAGCCTGGCTGCCTGGCTCTCCCCCCGCTCCCACCCTGCCTGCTGCTCTCGCCCTTCTTTTCCCGAGGTGCTGTGCTCCCCTCCCGTGTGGCCCAGGCCACGTGAGCTGCTGCGGGGCGGCCCACCTGGTGCACAGGCGCCACCGGCTCAGCTCGCCTGGCCCTGGCCCGCGGCGCTGCCCCTGCGTGCCCCGCTCCTCCTCCCGCGTATTCATTTGGTTTCTCTTCTCTGACTAGCATAGCATATCGCCGGGTCATCCGTGTCTATCAGTATGAAGTTGGGGATGATCTGTCTGGAAGGTTTCTCTCCTCTTTTTCTTTTCTTACCTCACTGTGGTTTTACCGGTGCACTCTTGACTCCCCAGGCGGCTCCGCTTTCTGACTAACCCACCGCCCCCGGCCGCTTGGGAAGGAGGGTCTGTCCCCCTCGCCAGTGCTGGCACCCAGGGCCTGGGGATGTGCTTGTCCCTGGGGGCCGTGGTGTGACTGTGGGTCTGACCTGCTGGGGCAGGAGGAAGCTGGCGCCTTGCTTTGCTAGAGCACTTTGAACTTGGGGGGAAGCTCAGCGCTCACCCCGGCCCTCGGGGTGTAGAGGGTAGGTTGGGACAGGGTACGGGGAGGCTGGGCTCAAACCCCCAAGGCTGTGTGCACTGTGTGACCTCGTGCCTGCACGTGACCCAGCTCTCGTCTCTGTTCACTGGTGCCCGCCTGTGACTTGCACTGTTTGCTGGGAGGGAGGCAGCTCCCCACTGCCACCTGCTCTTCAGGCCCTGGCCCTGGCCCTGTGCGTATGGAGCCCAGGTGTGGGCTCGCTCAGCCCCTCCCTCCTCGGGCAGACGAGAGCCACGTCTGGTCCCAGTCCTTGGCCCCGGCTCGCTGGCTCATCCGAGGGCCTGTGCTCTCACCCTAGAACGGGCCCCTCCCTGGGAGCCTGCAGGAGGCTCTCGGGTGCTGTCAGCTGCTCGGCCCCGCCTCTCCTGACGCGTCCACTGAGGCCGCAGAGAGTGCTGCCAGGGCCACCCGCTGGTTCCCGGGTCGCCCTCCAGGGCCTCGCTTCTCTGGGGCGGAAGAGCCACACGGACAAGGGTCTCAGGTTGGGAGCAGGCTGAGGGGCTGCTCTGGCCCGCAGGGTGGCCAGCGGAGACGTCACCTCCCCTCCCTGGCTCCCAGGGCCGGCAAGGAAGAGACACGATAGCAGGTGGCTCCGCTTCCTTAGGATTCGGAGGCCGCCAGGCAGGGCTCCAGCCGGGGAACCTGAGCTCTTGAGATCGGGCGCTCCTCACTGCGCTTCTCTGTGCAGGTCCTGCATGGTGGAAGAGTCGGGAACCCTCGAATCCCAGCTCGAAGCCACCAAAGTGAGTAGCATCAGCCGGGAGCCAGCGCGGGCACTGCTGGCTGGTGTGTGACCCTCCTCCCTGTGGCTCAAAGCGGCCTGGGCTCGGCAGCTTCCACCTGATCCCTTCTTGCCAACACAGAGACCGCTTTGGTCTCAGGTCGGGGACAGCAGGACTGCCGCTGGCTGTGGCTCCCTCTGCCGGGGCGGCTTGGGCCTCTTCAGCCTCAGCCGGAGCACAGCGCCCAGGAGGGCACCCAGTCCCACATCCGTGTCCCTCCCCAAAACCTCCCCAGCGCAAGCACCAGGAAATCCGGGCCATGAGGAGCCAGCTCAAGAAGATCGAGGACCTGGGGGCGGCCATGGAGGAGGCCCTCATCCTGGACAACAAGTACACGGAGCACAGCACCGTGGGCCTGGCCCAGCAGTGGGACCAGCTGGACCAGCTGGGCATGCGCATGCAACACAACCTGGAGCAGCAGATCCAGGCCAGGTGCTGCCGCCGGGCCGGGCCGGGGCCGGGGTCACAGTCACGGTCACGCGCTGCGGGGGGCCCGCTCCTCACTCACTCACTCACTCTGTGCCATTTGCAGGAACACAACGGGGGTGACTGAGGAGGCCCTCAAAGAATTCAGCATGATGTTCAAGTGAGTACAGCCGCCCCCTGCGGCCGCCCCTCGCGTGGGAGCGGTCAGCACCCCAGGTCTGAGCAGCCCTCGGGCCTGTGCCGCAGGCACTTCGACAAGGACAAGTCCGGCAGGCTGAACCACCAGGAGTTCAAATCCTGCCTGCGCTCCCTGGGCTACGACCTGCCCATGGTGGAGGAAGGCGAGCCGGACCCCGAGTTCGAGGCGATCCTGGACACCGTGGATCCCAACAGGTGAACGCCTGCAGGGGCGGGAGCGGCAGCTGCTCTGGCCGCCTGCCCGCCGCCCGGCTCACGCCGCCCGCCCCTCTGCCCCAGGGACGGCCACGTCTCCCTGCAGGAGTACATGGCTTTCATGATCAGCCGCGAGACCGAGAACGTCAAGTCCAGCGAGGAGATCGAGAGCGCCTTCCGGGCCCTCAGCTCCGAGGGCAAGCCCTACGTGACCAAGGAGGAGCTCTACCAGGTGCGGCGGGGCCGGGCCCTCGAGGGGGCGTCCCCACTGGAAGTGGAACCCGGGGTCTGCTCGGGAAGGGGCAGGAGGGCGCGGCCGCTGAGCCGACCTGGGCCCCTCCCCGCAGAACCTGACCCGCGAGCAAGCCGACTACTGCGTGTCCCACATGAAGCCCTACGTGGACGGCAAGGGCCGCGAGCTGCCCACCGCCTTCGACTACATCGAGTTCACCCGCTCGCTCTTCGTGAACTGAGGCTCCGCCCCGGCCCGCCCGCCCGCCCGCCCGCCCACTGCATGCCCGCCCCCACCGCTGCTGCTTCCCCTAACCGCGCCTGCTTAGCTTGGGATGAGGCTCAGTAGAGGGGGCTTCACTAACCGCTCCCGGCCCAGTGCCAGCCCCTGCTGCCGTGGGGACCCCGAGCCCGCTGCCCTCATTCCGACTCAACCTCGGCAGCGGCCCGCGCTCCGCTCTCCTGCCCCCAGACCCCGTTCTCACGAGAAAATAAAGGACAAGACACGCCCCTAAAGGCTTTGCTCCTTCATTCAGCTCAGAGACATGCCCCGCCCCCGGCGCCCTCAGGTGGCCACTTCGGCAGCCAGCCGGTCCAGGTCCTCTGTTTCCCGGGGTCCCTGCGCGGTGAACTCTGTGCTCAGCTGCCACACCTTCACGGTGCCCTTGGCATCACCAGCAGCCAGGAGCTGCGTCTGCTGGTGGTTGAATTCCAGGCAGTAGACGGGGCTCCCGTCCTGGGTCTGCTTGATGGAAACTGTGGGCTTCTGGGAGCTCCTGTGGAGGTCAAACAGCAGCACCTCCCCTGCAGGCAGGGAGAGCGGCGGGGGGAGGCCGCGCAGTGAGGCCGGGGCAGCCGCCCCCCAGCCCCGTGAGCTTGGCCCAGGAAGCGGGCGTCCACGGCGCAGGTGCAGTTCCCGCCCGTGGCCAGCGTGCTCAGTGGGGCGTCCGGAGGGGGGCCAGCCTAACGCACGACAAACCCGCGCCACCAGGGCCCCTGCTTCCTACCTTCCCCAGAAGCAGCTGCGAAAACCAAGGGGCGCACTGGGGACCAGCGCACAGCGAACAGGTACTTGTGCGACAGCTGCAGCGAGGCGAGGGGCTGCGCCTGCAGCATCGAGTACAAGTGCACGTGGCCGTCGGTGCCCGCGCTCAGGAAGAGATTCCTAGACGGGGCGGGGCAGAGGGAGGCGCCCCGGCTCAGCCCCCAAAGACCCCCGCCCGCGGCGGGGCCGTCACGGCTGGTGGGCGCCCTGGCCCACCCTGCGCCTGCCGCCTCTACCTGTGGAAGGGGGAGCAGCTCACGGAGTAGACGGGGCCGCCGTGCGGCGAGAAGGTGAACTGTGCCGGGGCGCGCAGGGGCACCGAGCTGGGCATGCGCGTGAGGGCCGCCTCCTCGGCCGCCCGGGAACACTTGAGGGGGAAGCCGCCTTCCGTGCCCAGGACGAAGAGGCTGGGGTCAAAGCTGGAGAAGCTCACCGCCGTGGCGCCCACCTCCGTCTCCCCCCGGGAGGGCTGTGGACAAAGGGCAGCAGCCGGGTCGGCGCCAGGCCGGCACGACGCTGTCCAGGCAGGCGGCCACAGCGCGGGCCCGGCGCCCCGGGCAGCACCCGGAACCCGGGGCCCAGACCCCTACCTTCTTCAGCTTGGTGCTGCGCGGCAGCTGCTGCGTGGCCAGGGCGAAGCCCTCGGCGAGCTGCAGGCGGCCGGCGCCGCCCGCCTGCCAGAGCAGCACCTTGCCGTCGGGGGCCACGCTCAGCACCTGGAAGCGGTGGCCGTGGCGGGGCTCGGGCAGCCAAACCACCTGGGGGAAGCGGGCCGGGCACAGAATGGAGGAAGGGGCGCAGCTGCACCCCCCCCCCGCGGGGAGACCCAGGGAAGGCTGGGAAGGCCGGAGCCAGCTGCACCCAGGCAGGGCAGCTGCCCAGTCCCAGCTCCGCCCCAAGGCTGACCTGGTACACGGGGTCTGTGTGGGTGTCGTCGGAGAGGCCTGTGCGGCACAGCAGCGGGTCCTCGGGCCGGCTCATGTCCCACACCAGCACCTCACCACTGTACAGGCCTCCTGCAGGGACCAGAGCCGTGCCCACCCCGTGGAGCAGCACCTGGAGCCCTCCGGAGGGGACGTCCCAGCCCCCACCCCCCGTGCCCCCGGGGGCAGCCGCTGCCCAGCTCCTGGCCGCTCCCTGCAGGCCGCCCGCCTCCTGGGGCCTCTCCGCCCGCCCCGCACCCGCTGGTCCCTCCGAGCGAGCTCCCTGCCCTGCGGCCCCAGGCTGCCAGGGTCCAGGCACCTGCCGCGTCCTCCCAGCAGGTGGCCGAAGCCAGGCCCACAGGCAGGAGGGTGGACAGTCACGACGGGCGAGGCGGCAGGCGGCGGCGCTCACCTGCGACGTGGGCTGGCTGCGTGGGGTGGAAGGCCAGGCACGTGACGGCACTGGGCACCTCCACCACTGCCGACGGCTGCCGCGGGTGCAGGCCTCGCCGGTCCAGGTTCCAGGCACACACGTAGGACCTGAGTGTGCTCCAGTCCCCATCGTCCAGCCTGCACAGGGACAGGCCTGAGCGGCTCCTGCCACCCCCGCCTCTCGCTCCCAGACGCTCCGGGTGTCCGAGGGGCACGCGACGCCAGGTGGGAAGCCAGTGCGACAGGGAACAGGCACCAGCGACGGCTGAGGGGCAGGCGCGGCGGGAGCAGAGCTCATGGCCCCAGGTGGGCCTGTGCCCCGCAGCCTGACGCCCGCTGCCCCTGCTCTCTTCTGCCAACCTGGCGCCAGCCCTGCCCGGCAACCCTGGGCAGGAGGACTCCCAGGACAGCCGCCCCGCACCGCGCGCCCCCACTCACCGGCCGTAGGCACAGGCCACCACGGAGCCGGTGCTGTTCCAGGAGACGCTGGTCACATGTAGCCCCTGCCCTTGGGCGGGGGGGTAGCCCAGAGTGTGCAGACAGGACACCTGCAGACAACGCCCCCACCTGAGCGCGGCAGTGGCCTCAGACGTGGGGTCTGCTCAGGGCCACGTGTCCTGGAGGGCAGGGCCCGAGACGCAGGCCGTGTGGGGATCCGGAACGGCCTGGGGTATTCCTGGGGCCACGCAAAGTTAAAGCATTCAGCACGGAGCTGGGAGGCAGGGATGAGGCCGCGACTGTCCTCGCCACGACGCTGGATGCCGTGGTGCGGCCGTGAGGCCCTGCTGGCGACTCCAGCGTCCTGCATCCGAGCAACAGCCCAGTGCCGGCCGCCCTGCCCCTGGGGAAGCAGCGGAGGGAGGCCCAAGTGGCTGGGCCCTGCCACTGTGTGGGCGACCAGGACGGAGTTCCCAGCCCCGGCTTCAGCCCGGCCCATCTGGGAGTGAGCCAGTGGATGGAAGTCCTCTCTCTCTGTCTGTCTCTCTGTCTCTGTCTCTCTCTCTGTCTCTCTGTGTCTCTCTGTCTCTCTGTCTCTGTCTCTCTCTCTGTCTCTCTGTGTCTCTCTGTCTCTCTGTCTGTCTCTGTCTTTCTCACCACTCTGCCTTTCAAATAAATCAACCTTTACAAATGAGAAGAGCTGCAGTGGTCTAATGTCATGTAGCGTGCAGAGCGTTTCCCGCAAAGCGTGGTCTGGGTGTCAGCACCGGCGGGCACACAGGAACAAAACCCCGCCTGCAGCGCCAGCATACCAGGGACGCCAGTTCGAGTCCCGGCTGCTCCACTTCCGATCCAGCTCCCAGCTAATGCAGCTAGGAAAGCAGTGGAGGATGCCTCAAATATCTGGGCCCCTGCACCCGCTTAGGAGACCTGGAAGAAGCTCCTGGCTTCAACTGGCGCAGCTCTGGCCAGTGCAGATATTCGGGGAGTGAACCAGCAGATGGAAGACCTCTGTCTCTGTCTCTAACTCTCCCTTTCATACAAAATAAATATTTAAAAACAAAACAAAACAAAATGCTGGCACCGTGGCTCACTAGGCTAATCCTCTGCCTTGTGGTGCTGGCACTCCAGGTTCTAGTCCCGGTTGGGGCACCGGATTCTGTCCCGGTTGCCCCTCTTCCAGGCCAGCTCTCTGCTGTGGCCCGGGAGTGCAGTGGAGGATGGCCCAGGTGCTTGGGCCCTGCACCCCATGGGAGACCATGATAAGTACCTGGCTCCTGCCATCAGATCAGCGTGGTGCGCTGGCCGCGGCGGCCATTGGAGGGTGAACCAACGGCAAAAGGAAGACCTTTCTCTCTGTCTCTGTCTCTGTCTCTCACTGTCCACTCTGCCTGTGGGAAAAAAAATAAAAAGAGCTGTCCATGGTGCCAGCACGAGGGACAGGGACCTGAGATCACGAGGTCTCGGCCACAGTCACACCTGTGGGCCCCACGACCCAGCAGCAAGCGGCCAAAACCCCAGAGAAGCCGCCCAGCGGCCCGTGGGCACAGGGCAGAGCCGCTGGGCGGAGGGCGGCAGCTGCATGTTGAGGGCCCCGAGAGCCGCACGGGGACACGTGCGCCGAGTTCACAGCCGTGTCGCCCACGATGGCGAGGAAGCGGGCGCGGCCCAAACGCCCGACAAGGAGCAGCAGAAGCGCGCGAGGCAGGGAAAGCGAAGGGCCACGGGAACCTCAGCAAGGCACAGGCGCCCCGAGCCGGGGACGGGGACGGGCCCGGAACCAGGGTCATACGGCGCCACGTCAAGCCACGCAGACGCCCAGAAGACGCCACCCAGAAGGCGGTAACCCTGGAGCAGCTGCCAGAGGCTGGGGGAAGCGAGGCAGCCGGCTGGCGGCGACACACGGGCTTCTTTTCTTCTTCTTGTTTTTAAAAGATTTATTTATTTACTTTGAAAGAGTTACGCAGAGAGAAGGAGAGGCAGAGAGAGAGAGAGGGAGAGAGGGAGGGAGGGAGGGAGGGAGGGAGGGAGGTCGGTCTTCCATCTGCTGGTTCAATCACTAAATGGCCGCAATGGCTAGAACTGGGCTGATCCGAAGCCAGGAGCCAGGAGCCTCTTCCGGGTCTCCCACGCAGGTGCAGGGGCCCAAGGACTTGGGCCATCTTCCACTGCTTTCCCAGGCCACAGCAGAGAGCTGGATGGGAAGTGGAGCAGCCATGTGGGATGCCGGCACTGCAGGCGGCAGCTCCACCCACTACGCCACAGCGCCAGCCCATAAGCTTCTGAGTGAGGCCAACGTGTTAGGGTGGGGATTTGGTGGAGCAGTGAAGATGCAGCAGAGGGCAGGCTGGCGCTGTGGCGCAGGCTAAGCCGCCCCCTGCAGTGCCGGCATCCCACGTGGGCGCCGGTTCAAGTCCCGGCTGCTCCACTTCTGATCCAGTTCTCTGCTGATGGCCTGGGAGAGCAGTGGAAGATGCCCAAGAAGAGACGCAGAAGAGGGCCCAGCCCTGGCCATTGCAGCCATCTAGGGAGTAAACCAGTGGATGGAAGACCTCTCTGTAACTCTGCCTCTCAAATAAATAAATCTTAATAAATCTTTTTTTTTTTAAGATTCATTCATTTGGTGGCCGGTGCCGTGGCACAGTAGGTTAATCCCCTGCCTGCGGCACCAGCATCCCATATGGCCGCAGTTCCTAGTCCTGGCTGCCCCTCTTCCCATCCAGCTCTCTGCTGTGGCCCGGGAGTGCAGTGGAGGATGGCCCAGGTCCTTGGGCCCTGCACCCCATGGGAGACCAGGAGAAGCACCTGGCTCCTGGCTTCGGATCAGCGCGGTGCGTCAGCTGTTGCAGCCATTTGGGGGGTGAACCAACGGAAGGGAGACTTTGTCTCTGTCTCTCCCTCTCACTGTAACTCTACCCCTCAAATAAATAAATAAATAATTTTTAAAAACTAGGTCTTATCTAAAAAAAAAAAGATTCATTTATTTGAAAGAGTTACAGAGAAAGGTAAAGAGAGAGGGGCCTTCCATCCACTGGTTCACTCCCCAGATGGACACAACAGTTGGAGCTGGGCCAATCTGAAGCCAGGAGCTTCCTCCAGGTCTCCCACGTGGGCGCAGGGGTCCAAGGACCTGGGCCATCTCCCACTGCTTTCCCATGTGCCCCAGCAGGGAGCTGGACTGGAAGTGCAGCAGCCGGGACTCACACCGGCGCCCATACGGGATGCTGGTGCAGCAGGCCAGGGCTTTAACCCACTGCGCCACGGCGCCAGCCCCTGTAAGTAAATCTAAAAAACAGAAGGAGCAGCTTGGGACACCAGCAGGACGTGCAGCCGCAGCTGGGTCTGGATCCCAGCTCCACTCCCTGCTCGCGGGGACTGGCCCTGGGAGACAGCAGACAGCTGAGTGGCTGGGTGTCTGGCACCCACATGGGAGACCTGGACCGAGTTGCCGGCTTCTGGCTGCCAGCTCTGGCTGTGGGCATTCAGGAAGTGAACCAGCAAACAGGAGACTGCCATCCCTTTCCCCCTGTCTGTCAGACAGAAGGACAAACTGATGGCGAGGCCTGCGCCGCGGGCAGACAGACTACAACGTCCCGTGAGCTGTACTGACAGGGTGTGAGGGTGAATGACAGGTGAATTTTTTTTTTAAGATTCATTTATTTGAAAGGTAGAGCATCAGAGAGAAAGGGAAAGACAGATCTTCCACGCACTGGTTCCCTCTGGCCAGGCCGGAGCCAGGAGCCCCATCCTGATCTCCGATGGAGGTGGCAGGGGCCCAGGCACTCTGCCCCCACCCCCACCCCCACCCCCACCCCGCGCACTGGCAGGAAGTTCGATCAGAAGGAGCAGCCGGGTCGCGCCCTGCACCCCGGTGCAGCCTACACACAGGCGTGGCCACTGGTGCAGCAGGTAAACCAACCCTTGGGACGGGGACGCCTGCGTCCCGCAGCTGCGAGACCAGGACCAAGACCCACTGACCCCTGGTCAGTCCGCCCCCCCAACTTTTTTTTTTTTTGACAGGCAGAGTGGACAGTGAGAGAGACAGAGAGAAAGGTCTTCCTTTGCCGTTGGTTCACTCCCCAGTGGCCGCTGCGGCCGGCGCGCTGTCCATTTCAAATAACATTTTTACAAAATTAAAATTCTAAACCCATTTTTTTCTTGAACTTTGACTTTCAACGGTTAGGGGTTCGAGATGGAGTGTGCGGCCGCAATACCCACAGCCCGCCTCAGGGCACAGACGGGAGCCTCGGCCACTCTGCCTCCCACCCAGCCTCCTGCCAGCGTGCACCTGGGTCGCAAGAGCTGATGTCACCTCCCCGGAGATCAGATCCATGGGTCTGCCCTCAGCCTGCCCAGACCTGGCTTCTGTGGGAGTGAACCGCAGGCGGAGGGTCTCTAGTTCTCTGCCAGCCTCTATCTCGCTACCTTTCAAAGAAAATTTTTTAAAAAATTTTTTTACATTAGAGATCGGGGCTGGGGCTGTTGGTACAAAAGTGGCTTAGGCTGATGCCTACAGCACCTGCAGCCCACATGGGCACCAGTTTGAGTCCCGGCTGCTCCACTTCCGATCCAGCTCCCTCCTCGTGTGCCTGGGAGAGCAGTGGAAGATGGCCCAAGTGCTAGGGTTCCTGCCCCAACATGGGAGACCTGGAAGAAGCTCCCGGCTTCGGCCTGACCCAGCCCTGGCCGCTGTGGCCTTTCAGGGAGTGAACCAGGAGAGGCAAGTCCTCTCTGTCTGTCTCTCACCTTCTGCCATTCTGCCTTTACATATTTTAAAATATTAGATATCTAAGTAAATGTTTAGACTCTAAAATGAGTCTTTTTCTCGCAGGGCCTGGTTAGTTCTTGCTATAAAAGAGTGAGCCCAAGGCCTCCCAGACACCCTGACACCGTCTGGCCTGACCGGAGAGCACACGGTCTCTCCATCTCACGCCTGCTCCCACACCGCGATGCCGTCCAGTGAGGCTCTCACCACGGCCAGGCCAACGCCGGCTCAGCATTGGTGCAAGGGCACCTCCATGATCACAAGCTAAACAACTCCTTTTCTGTATTAAGCAAAACCATTTTTAGAAGTAAAAACTGATTTTTTTTTAATTTGAGACAGAGAGGCACAGTGGGGGCCGGTGCTGTGGTGTAGCAGGTGAGCCACGGCCTGCAGCGCCGGCACCCACGTGGGCGCTGGCTCATGTCCCGGCTGCTCCACTTCCGATCCAGCTCCCTGCCATGGCCTGGGAAAGCAGCAGAAGATGGTCCAAGTGCTTGGGCCCCTGCACCTGCGTGGGAGACCCGGAATAAGCTCCTGGCTCCTGGTTGCTGCAGCCATCTGGGAAGTGAACCAGCTGATGGAAGATCTCTATCTCTCCTTCTCTTTCAAAATAAACAATTTTTAAGATTTATTTACTTACTTGAGAGGTAGAGTTACAGAGAGAGAGAGGGAGAGACAGAGAGAAAGGCCTTCCATCCACTGGTTCACTCCCCAAATGGCCACAACGGCCGGAGCTGGGCTGATCTGAGCCAGGAGCTTCCTCCAGGCCTCCTGTGAGGAAGCAGGGGCCCAAGCACTTGGTCTGTCTTCCACGGCTTTCCCAGGCCACAGCAGGGAGCTGGATCGGAAGAGGAGCAGCCAGGACATGAACTTGCGCCCATGTGGATGCTGGCGCCACAGGCAGTCAGCCCAGTACACCACAGTCCCAGTCCCAGTAAAGAAATCTTTACAAAAATAAACAATGAATGAAGCAGGGATCCACACATGGACCAAAGGCAGCCACGGGAACGGGGAACCCTGATGGTCAGCAGCCAACACTTTCCCTCCCGAGAGGAGGGGGCCGCACAGACTCCTTAGGTCGCGTTCTCCCCCTTGTTCTCTTCCTCTGAAGACTTATTTACCTGTTTATTTGAAAGGCAGAGTTACAGGGAGAGAGAGACTTAGGTCCAAGCACTTGGGCCATCTTCCGCTGCCTTCCCAGGCCATTAGCCGGGAGCTGGCTCAGAAGTGGAGCAGCCGGGACTCGACCTCTGCCATGTTTCCTAGGAAACAGGAGGACGGCACGCGAGGAGTGAAGGCTGGGAGGAGGGCTAAGGGCTCCGGCTACCTGACCACCCAGCTCGGTAAAGGGAAGGGCACGCTGCCCGCATCCCGTGAGCCAGCTCTGCTTCCAATCCAGCTCCCTGCTAACGCGTGGGCCATCTCCCACTCTTCCCCAGGGGCGCCAGCGGGAGCAGAGGAGCCGGGACTTGAGCAGCGTCCGTGTGCGGTGCCGCAGCTGCAGGCCGTGGCTCTGCCCGCTGTGCCACCCCACCCCGCCTCATGGAGTCTGTGGCTCCGAGCTTCTGGCTTGGGCCAGTGCTAGCCCTACCCGTTGCAGCCATTTGGGGAGTGAGCCAGTGGATGGAAGATCGGTCGATCTCCCTCTCTGTCCCTCCCTCTAACTACCTTTCAAGTAAGTACAATAAAGTTTTAAAAGAAAAGAGGCCGGGGACCGGCGCTGTGGCTCCCAGCCTCGAATCCTGCCTCTGCTGCCACCCGGGGTCCACTCCTCCAAGTGCAGAGACAGGAGCGGAGGAGCGCCACGCCTCACCCCTGCAGCAGAGGCGGAGCGTGCTGTCCAGACTGGGACGACTGCGACTGGGGGCAGAGCAGAGTGGCGGCACCTACCGTCTGCTGGTGCTCGGTCCAGTTCACCTCGAAGCCATCGAAGGCGTGGCTCTGCCAGTTCTTGTTCAGCTCCCGGATGACCATGGCCTCCACTCTCCGAAGAAAGGCTGCAAGCCGGGGGGCGTCATGGTGCGACAGCGGCTGCACGCTGGGCGGCTCGGGGGCCTCCGTCTGCACCTGGGCGTCCACATGCTGCCGGGCCTGGGCAGAGGCCTCCGCGGTGGCGATGCTAGCCGTCTGGCAGCTTTTCTGGGGGCAGGGATCAAAACAAGGGTCACGGCTGGCGCCGCGGCTCACTAGGCTAATCCTCCGCCTTGCGGCGCCGGCACACCGGGTTCTAGTCCCGGTCGGGGTGCCGGATTCTGTCCTGGTTGCCTTTCTTCCAGGCCAGCTCTCTGCTGTGGCCCGGGAGTGCAGTGGAGGATGGCCCAAGTGCTTGGGCCCTGCACCCCATGGGAGACCAGGAGAAGCACCTGGCTCCTGCCATCAGATCAGCACGGTGCGCTGGCCGCAGTGCGCCAGCCGCGGCGGCCATTGGAGGGTGAACCAATGGCAAAAAGGAAGACCTTTCTCTCTGTCTCTCTCTCTCATACTGTCCACTCTGCCTGTCAAAAAAAAAAAAAACAAACAAGGGTCACCTCCCCGCCTCCGGTGACCCACACGTTTCCCTGTCGAGAATCCCAGTGAGAGAGTATGTGGTCACTTTGTCTGCCCCAGAGGAGTCCCGTGTGGTTTCAGCTGGAGAGGACTTGGCAGCCTCTCTGTGCCGCTGAGGGGGGCGGCAGTTCCATCTGGCCATCAGAGAGCCAGGGACTGCTTCGGGGGCGGCCGTTGCCTCCAGAGGGCTCTCAGGTCCCCCCAGCCCCGGCCCCGGCGTTTGTCCCCTGATCGCGGGGTACGGGTGTGGACGAGACTGTGGGAGGAAACACCAGCTGCCCTCGTGCAGGGAGAAGTCCAGTCTTTACCAACCAAGGGCTCTCTGGGAGGTGGCCACCGTGTGGACACTGCGGCCCGCGAGAGGCTCTGCTCACGTGGCCTCTCCCAGGACAAGAACAAGGCCTGGACGCGTCCCGGCTCAGGAGGCCGAGCCCAGGGGAGGGCAGGGGCTGCCCCGTCCTCTCGGCTTGTCTCCCGGGACACCGCGCCCCTCCCGCATCAGCCCTGGCTGTCTCTGGTCGTACCCCGGGCCCTGTGCATGGCAGCCGGCATGCAGCCGACCAGCCTCTGTATGAAAGGGACCCCAGACGCTGGCTTGTCTGGGCACTCAGGACACAGCGAGGTTCCTGTGTCCCTGGTGCTCACACGGGGCAAGCACGACACAGATGAGGGAGAAACCAGGACAAAGTCGCCACCCGCAGGGCTGAGGCTCACCCATAGGCCACGGCGGGAGGGGGACGAGGAGAGGCTGGGTAGGGAGGGTGGGAGAGCAGCAGACCTCGCTCAGAGAGGGTGGGGGAGGCAGAGACCTGAAGCCACACAGCCCCAGGTCATCAGGAGGGGAGTGTGGGAGGATGGGACAGGGACACAGGGCCGTCCCGCCGAGGCCAGGGGTCTGCCTCGAGACCGGGCCAGCGCGTCCCCAGTGCAGGGCAGGTGCGGGAGAGGCAGGCACCTGGCAGCCATGCAGGGCCTGGCCCAGACCCAGACGCCTCCCGCGCTCACTCATGGAGGCATCCAAGACTCCCCAGTCACCGGGCTCTGGGCAGAACCTGGGGACAGACAGGTGACTGGAAGCCACGGCCCAGAGAAGGCCACCGCCCTGGCACACTGAGGAGGGCAGGGCCGGGCCACGGGGCATCTGCTGGTGGCCCAGGACCTTCAGAGGCCGTGTGTGCACCGCAAACTCCCTGAAGCCATGATGGCAACAGTGCAATGATTTTTTAAAGATATTTATTTATTTATTTATTTAAAAGGCAGAGTTAGAGACAGGGAGGGAGAGAGATCTTCCATCTGCTGGCTCACTCCCCAGAAGGCCACAACGGCCAGGGCTGGGCCAGGCTGAAGCCAGGAGCTTCTTCCAGGTCTCCCACGTGGGTGCTGGGGCCCAAGCACTTGGGCTGTCCTTTGCTACCTCCCCAGGTGCATCAGCAGGGACTGATTAGAAGTAGAGCCGCTTGGGGGCCAGCGCTGTGGCACAGCCGGTAAGGCCACCGCCTACATCCCACGAGGACACCGGTTCCAGACCCAGCTGCTCCACTTCCAGCTCTCTGCTGTGGCCACAGATGGGCCCAGCTCCGGCCATTGTGGCCATTTGGGGAAGGAACCAAAGGGCAGAGGATCTCTCTCTCTCTCTCTCTGCCTCTCAAAATAAATCTTAAAAAAAAAATAGTTGACTCAAAAGAATTTTTTTTCTTTTTTCTTTTTCTATTTTTTTGACAGGCAGAGTGGACAGTGAGAGAGAGAGAGAAAGAGAAAGGTCTTCCTTTGCCGTTGGTTTACCCTCCAATGGCCGTCACGGCCGGCGCACCGCGCTGATCCGAAGCCAGGAGCCAGGTGCTTCCTCCTGGTCTCCCATGGGGTGCAGGGCCCAAGCACTTGGGCCATCCTCCACTGCACTCCCGGGCCACAGCAGAGAGCTGGACTGGAAGAGGGGCAACCAGGACAGAATCCGGCGCCCCGACCGGGACTAGAACCCGGTGTGCCAGTGCCGCAAGGCGGAGGATTAGCCTAGTGAGCCGCGGCGCCGGCCTGACTCAGAAGAATTTTTAAAAAGTGGACCAGCTGCTGGTACCCACATGAGATGCTGGGGCTGAACACAGCACCACCCCAGCGCAACCATTTTTTTAAAGACTCATTACAAAAAAGAGATAAATATAGATTAATTTTCAATTAATCTATGTACCTGAAAGGCAGAATTAGAGAAAGTGGGAGAAACAGATCTTGCACCTGCTGGTTCACTCCCCAGATTCCAGCTGAAGCCAGGAGCTTCTCCCAGGTCCAGGCACTTGGGCCACCACCTGCTGCCGTCCAGGAGCGTTCTCGGGAAGCCAGATCAGAAGCGGAACAGCCAGGATCCAAACTGGCGCTCTAACGTGGGGTATGGTTGTCCTGGGCGGTGGTGGCTTAACCAGCTACGCTACAGCGGCCGCCCCAACGGTGGCAACCACTCAGGGCTAACCACCAGACTCTGTTTCCACAGCTTTGACCTCACCACCCGTGAGGACTCTCAGGCATCCTAGGAGGGCCCCTCATTACAGGTGGAACAAACCTAACCCGACACCGCAAACCCTCACCTCCCTAAGCACGGCTGTGACACCACAAGTGGAATAGTCCACACCTGACCTCATGTGACGGGTTCCAGTCCAAACGCAGGTGCACTACACACTGAATAAAATTACGGTCTGGGCCACCCGGGACACCCCAATCCGCATCGGAGGGTCAGCTGCAGTACCAGCTGCTGCACCTAAGAAGTCGGCACACAACGGCTGATCGCTGGGGTCCCTGCCACCCACGCGGGGCGCACACACGGGGCACACGCGGGGTTCCGCACTCCCAGCTTCGGCATGGCCCAGCCTCAGCCGGGCAGGCATCTGAGGAGTGAGCCGGCGGATGGAGGAGCTCTTTCCCGGTCTCTCCCTCTCGCCACTCCACTCTCTGATAAATAAAACTGGGGCCGGAGTCGGGGCGCCACCATCCCACGCGGGTGCCAGTCGGGTCCCGACTGCTCCTCTCCCAATCCAGCCTCCTGCTCATGTGCCCGGGAGAAGACGGCCATGTACCTGACCCTCCTCCCCCGTGAGGGACCCAGCTGAAGCTCCTGGCTTTGGCCTGGTCCAGGCCTGCTGTTCCGGCACCTGGGGAACGAACCAGCAGATGGAGGATCTGCCCCACCCCGTATCACTCTGCTTTTCAAATAAAGAAAAACAGAGTGACAGAGAGAGGGAGAGGCAGAGAGAGGCCCTCCGCCCTCCACCTGCCGGTTCACTCCCCAGATGGCTGCAACGGCCAGGACTGGGCCAGGCTGAAGCCTGGAATCCCATCAGTGTCTCACGTGAGCAGCAGGGGCCCGACTACTTGGTCCCACGACACTGACCTCAGCTTTTTGTTGTTGTTGACAGGCAGAGTGGACAGAGAGAGAGAGAGACAGAGAGAAAGGTCTTCCTTTACCGTTGGTTCACCCCCAAATGGCCGCCGCGGCCGGTGCACCGCACTGATCCGAAGCCAGGAGCCAGGTGCTTCTCCTGGTCTCCCATGGGGTGCAGGACCCAAGTACTTGGGCCATCCTCCACTGCACTCCCGGGCCACAGCAGAGAGCTGGACTGGAAGAGGGGCCACCGGGACAGAATCCGGCGCCCCGACCAGGACTAGAACCCGGGGTGCCGGCGCCACAGGCAGAGGATTAGCCTAGTGAGCTGCAGTGCTGGCCAGGACCTCAGCTTTTTAAGATGTTAAAAGCCTGCCCGGGGGCTGGCGCTGTGGCACAGCAGGTTAAAGCTCCGGCATGCAGTGCCCGCACTGCCGGCTCCACTTCCCATCCAGCTCCCTGCTGTGGCCTGGGAAGGCAGTGGAAGATGGTGCAAGTCCTTGGGCCCCTGCACCCGCGTGGGAGACCCAGAGGACACTCCTGGCTTCAGATTGGCCCAGTTGCAGCCGCTGCGGCCATTTGGGGAGTGACCCAGAGGATGGAAGACCTCTCTCTCCCTCTCTTTGTAACTCTTTCAAATAAATAAAATAAATCTTTTTTTTTTTTTTTTTGACAGGCAGAGTGGACAGTGAGAGAGAGAGAGAGAGAGAAAGGTCTTCCTTTGCCGTTGGTTCACCCTCCAATGGCTGCCGCGGCCAGCGCACTGCGGCCAGCACACCGCGCTGATCCGATGGCAGGAGCCAGGTGCTTCTCCTGGTCTCCCATGGGGTGCAGGGCCCAAGCACCTGGGCCATCCTCCACTGCACTCCCTGGCCACAGCAGAGGGCTGGCCTGGAAGAGGGGCAACCGGGACAGAATCCGGCGCCCTGACCGGGACTAGAACCCGGTGTGCCGGCGCCGCTAGGCGGAGGATTAGCCTAGTGAGCCGCGGTGCCGGCCCAATAAAATAAATCTTTAAAAAAAAGCCTGCCCGCTCATCTCCAGCCAGCTGCTCCCCGCATCACCCCTGCTCAGGACGCTGCCCGAGGAGCGCCCCCAGGGACCTGGGGCTCAGAAGCCCTCGGGCCCCCTGCACCTCAGCCCTCCCCTCCCTCTGCTTTCCCAGGAATCCCGCGTGCACACCTGGGGAGGAGGGGAGGGGAGGGGAGGGGAGACCCCAGCCCCAGGCAGCGTCCCTTCATCAGTACGGAGCCTCGGAACTGCACTCAGGTGTGAGGCCCGTGCTGCTGGCCAAGCGCAGGGCCAGGGGGCGGCGTGGCCACACACAGCGTCCACCGCGCGGGTCCATGAGGCCTCCAGGGGCACGGGGAACAATGAGCCAGCAGCAGGCCGTCTCCTGTTTACTCCAGGTTGCCTGTGCAGTAAACCAGGGCAGGAAGCAGCTCCTCCAAGGCCAGAGTCAGCCACGCACAGAGGGCTGCCCCGGCTACCGCCCACGCCAGCAGGCCGCCTCTGCCCACACTAAACATACTGAATAAAATCACGGTCAGGGCCCGAGAGCAGAGCTGCCCGGCAGACTCAGAGGTCCAGGGGCAGCTTGCACTCTCCTTGAAGAGAGGCCAGACACACGCGCACGCGCACGCATGCCAGCAGGGGGTGACGCGGGCACAAAACCTGCTGAAGGTGCACCTGGCCCAGGGCAGGCAGCAGGTCTAACACAAAACAGGAACCGGCTACTCTATTTCCGATCCAGCTCCCCGCTAAGGCACCTGGGGGGGCAGCGGAGATGGCCAAGATGGCCAAGACGGATCCAGAAGAAGCTCCCGCTCCCGGCTCCAGATCCAGCCAGCTCCGGCCGTTGCTGCCATCTGGGGAGTGAACCAGCGGACGGGAGACCTCTGCGAGGACAGGGCCCAGGTGAACACCTGAGGCTCGTGAAGAGATGGCACTAAGTCAGGCCAGAGCGGGGGGCTTCAGAATGTCCCAGAGACAGGCTGTGAGCCGCACTGTAACCAGAACTTCTCCACGTGGGCCGGCGCTGTGGCACAGCGGGTAAAGCCGCCGCCTGCAGCTCTGGCATCCCATAGGGGCACCAGTTCGAGTCCCGGCTGCTCCTCTTCCCATCCAGCTCTCTGCTGTGGCCTGGGAAAGCAGTAGAAGATGCCCAAGTGCTTGGCCCCTGCACCCACGTGGGAGACCCGGAGGAAGCTCCTGGCTTCGGCCTGGCCCAGCCCCGGCCACTGCGGCCATTTGGGGAGTGAACCAGCGGAAGGGAGAGCTCTGCCCGCCCCGGCCTGTCTCCGTCTGTCTCTTTAAAAAATAAATAAAAGCTGGGGGGTGGGGGGGAGCCCAGGCTGGCCCAGCCGCAGGGACGAAAACACCAGAGAAGGGCTCAGTGATTTTCATCTGAGGTGGAGATGCACACTCGAGGGTCTGCTCCCCCAGGCGGGCACAGCCTGCACTCAACCAGGTCTCCCAGAGGGCGGTGGGGGTCCGTCCACCCGAGCCAGCACCACTGCCGCCCGGTGCACAGTGGCGGAGGACGGAGCCCAGCCACGGCTCAGCCCCGGGCGGAGGACGGAGCCCAGCCACGAAGCCACGACTGAAACCCGGGCAGAGGACGGGCCAAGCCACGGCTCAGCCCCGGGCACTAACCGCCAGGCCAAACCCCCACTCCTGCGGGGGCTCCTATTACCCTTTTTTGCTCGTCTAGATTTTTCTAAACTTCAGTTCACTTGGAACAAGCAACTTCCCGCGCTCCTGGGGCCCTCGCCATCCTGCGACTACCGTCGCCCAGGGAGCCAGAGCTGGCGGGGAAGCGCCCTCACCCCCAGCCCTCAGGGTCGGGGCCAGGACCCCCAGGGGGCGGGGCTCAGGAGGCCAGGTGGGAGCCCACTCCCCACACCGGCAGTGCAGGCCCAGCCTCGTCCAGCTTCCTGTGAACACCCCCCGGGGGGGGGCAGCAGGTGCGGCTCAAGCATCTGGGTCCCTGCCACCCATGGGAGACCCCGAGGGAGCCCGGCCCGGCCCCAGCGGTAGCGGGCACCTGAGGGACGGGAGATCTTGGTCTCTGCCTCTCATATAAAGTGAACTAACAGGTAAGGGGTCGGACAATCACCTGGCTAATCCTCCACCTGCGGCGCCGGCATCCCGGGTTCTAGTCCCGGTTGCCCCTCTTCCTGTCCAGCTCTCTGCTGTGGCCCGGGAGGGCAGAGGAGGATGGCCCAGGTCCTTGGGCCCTGCACCCCATGGGAGACCAGGAGGGAGCTCCCGACTCCTGGCTTCGGCCTGGCCCCCGCTGCAGCCATTCGGGGAGTGAACGAGCGGATGGAAGACCTCTCTCTCTCTCTCTGCCTTTCAAATAAATAAATAAATAATAAAGTGCAAAAACAAAAAGGCCTGGCCTCAGAACCCCGCCCGCCCGGGGCCCGCACCCTCACCGTCTCCCCGCGGATGCCCTGGACGCCCCTCCACTGCGAGGGCACGGACGCCACGCCCAAGGTCTCATCCTTAAGCGGCCCCGGCCGCCCGGGCCCCTCTGCGCTCGGAGCCCCGCCGGTAGCCAGCGCCGCGACACCCTCGCCTCCCGCCGGACACAGCGGCCCGGGCAGCGCGCGGGTTGCCATAGAGACGGCGCCGCCCCCTCGCGCCGGCGCACTCCGGCGCGACCGTCACCTCCCCCTCCTCCCGCGGGTCTCCGCGAGCTGAAGCCTGGGATTGGAGCCTGACGGCGCCATTTTTGAATGGGTCACAGCGCCTAGTCTAAGAGCCAAGAGAAAAAGAATGATGCTTTATCGACGAGGGCGAAAAGCGTGACTAGTTTTGAGTAGTCCCTTTACACTCGCCCCTGCCCAGAAAGTGCATACTCGGGTTAGGCGTGACTACTCCTGACCGACAGGAAGTGCGGAAGGGCAGCACGGGTGCCAGGCTCAAAGATGGCGCCGAGCAACCCCGCGCAGAGGCGCGGGCAGGGAGCGGAGGCCCCGGCGGGCGGCCAAGTTCAAGGCCTCTGAGGGTTGGGTGCTCTCTCGGAGCCTCGCGGGGCGCCCCTGGGGTTGGCGGGCAGCTCGGAGTCGAGTGTTGCCCTCCGGTCCTGGTTTCTGCCTCAACACAATGATGAGAAACATCCCATGCGCACCACAGGTTGAAGAATCGCGAGGCCCCGCTGAGGTGGATACAGAAAAGTGCTTTTTAAATCAAAACTGAGGGGCCGGCGCCATAGCTCACTCGTTAATCCCCTGCCTGCAGCACCGGCATCCCATATGGGCGCCGGTTCTAGTCCCGGCTGCGCCTCTTCCAGGCCAGCTCTCTGCTGTGGCCCGGGAGTGCAGTGGAGGATGGCCCAGGTGCTTGGGCCCTGCACCCCATGGGAGACCAGGAGAAGCACCTGGCTCCTGGCTTCGGATAGCCGCAGTGTGCCGGCCATAGCGGCCATTCCGGGGGTGAACAGACCTGTCTCCACTGTCTATAAGTCTACCTGTCAAATAAAAAATAAATCAATCAATCAAAACTGAGGACACAGGCAACTAGCAATTAGTGAGTGCCTGCCAGACGTGTTGATCGTCTTAAACCCTCCCCCGAGGGAGCAGCTGTTTTTATTGTACGTCCACGAGGGGGGAGGAGGGGGCGTAACTGACCCAGGCCGCTGAGTAGGACCCCACGCCTGGTCCTGAGGCTCTGGGCAGGAATGCACGGCCACAGGTTCCTCTTGTCTCAGAAATGGCTGTGGCCTGGGTGCCGTCCGGGCCGCCCAGTACCAGAGTCCTCCTTGGAACCCCTTCCTGCCAAGGCCCCGGGACCGATTCCATCAACAACGCCGGGAAACCTGAGTGCGATAGAAATTACTGCCTAGAAAGGAGCTGTCCCGGCCGGCTTGCCTCAGCTCCTTCTCGCCGAGGGAGTTCATGAATCACAGTTGAGAGACACAAAAGTAGGGGTAGCAAAGCAAAAGTGTGTTTAAGTACTTCTCAAAAACGCAGTGGGCCAGTGGAGAGAGCACGTGGCAACCTTCCTTCTGGGGTCGGCTTTTTATGTCTTAAGGATGAAGGGTGTTGACCGATGATGTCGCTGGATTGCTCATGATTGCTTTGTTTTTAAGATTTATTTATTTATTTATTTGAAAGGCAGGGTTAGAGTGCGAAGGAGAGGCAGAGAGAGACAGGTCTTCTATATGTTAGTTCACTCCCTAGATGGCCTCAATGGCCAGAGCTGGGCTGATCCGAAGCCAGGAGCCAGGAGCTTGTTCTGGGTCTTCCACGTGGGTGCAGGGCCCAAGGACTTGGGCCATCTTCCACTGCTTTCCCAGGCCCCAGCAGAGAGCTGGATCAGAAGTGGAGCAGCGGAGACTCGAACCAGCACCCATATGGGATGCCGGCACTGCAGGCGGTGGCTTAACTCCTCGCAATGCCACAGCACCGGCCCCTGTTGGCATTTGTGACTGACGTCTAGGAGTTGCATACCTTTGGGCTCTCCATGCTCTGACTCCAAAGCTGAGCTCCCATTTTACCAGGACGCTTTAACCAGGAGGAAAACCCCTAAGTCTTGGGTGGGACCTGTAGCAGTGTCTCTGGTCCCTCCCCCTGGGTGAGGGTTTCCTAGCCCCACCCCACTGCTCATGCTGAACCATGTACCCGAATTAGACAAGGTTCTCCTTGTGAGGCCGTCTTAAACACTGGGAGAATTTGCAGGCATCAGTAAGGATTCCTAAACAACACTGAAAAGGAAGCGCATAGCTATGGGATTGAGGGGTCTGGATTTGAAGCCCTTCTTGGGCTTGGGGCTGAGACTGGGGCCACAGGTGGAGCTTCCCTAGTTTCCCATGTTTGAAACCAAAAGTGCTTCAGAGTTGACACTTTTTTTTTCCAGGTTTTGGAATATTTGCATGTCCCTAGTGAGCCATTCTGACAATGGGAGCCAAGTCTGGACATGAACACGAAATTCATGTCTGCTTCCTAAACACCTTATACACATAGCCTGAAGGTGAACTCACACATGTTTTTTAGAGTATTTATTCGAAATGCCAAATGGCTGCAATAGCCAGGGCTGGGCCACGCTGGAGCCAGGAGCCAGGAACCCAATCTGTGTCTCCCACGCGCATGACAAGGACCGAGTACTTGGGCCATCATTCCCTGCCTTCCCAAGTGCCTTAGCAGGAAGTTGGATCAAAAGCGGAGTACAGGAGCCAGAGTTGTGGCACCACCCTTTTGACACCAGCGTCTCCTGAGTTCCTCTTTGAATCCCAGCTGCTCTGGTTCCGATCCAGCTCCCTGTTTATGTGCTGAGAGACCCAGGAAGAGCTCCTGGCTCCTGGCTCCTGGCTTCCGCCTGACCCAGCCTCAGCTGTTGCAGCCATTTGGGCTGTGAACCAGTGGATGGAGATCTTTTTCTCTCTGTGTTTCTGTCTCTATTTCTCTGTCACCCTGTCTTTCAAATAAATAAATAAATAAATCTTCAAAAAAAAAAAAAAAAAAAAAGCAAAGGAAGCAAAGTAGCTGGGACTCCAACTGACATTCTGATATCTGATACTGCACCACAGCACCTGCCCCCCTCCATGCAGTATTTTTAGTGCACCTGTGTTTGGACTCTGAGGGTTTGAATTTTCCAGTTGTGATATCAAAAATTTTAGATTCAGCCGGCACCGCGGCTCACTGGGCTAATCCTCCGCCTGCAGCAACGGCACCCCGGGTTCTAGTCCCTGTCAGGGCGCCGGATTCTGTCCCGGTTGCTCCTCTTCCAGTCCAGCTCTCTGCTGTGGCCCGGGAAGGCAGTGGAGGATGGCCCAGGTCCTTGGGCCCTGCACCCGCATGGAGGAGGCACCTGGCTCCTGGCTTCGGATCGGTGCAGCGCACCGGCCGCAGTGTGCCAACTGTAGCGGCCACTTGGGGAGTGAACCAATGGAAAAAGGAAGACCTTTCTCTGTCTCTCTCTTTCTGTCAAAAAAAATGTTTTAAATAAATAATAAACTAAAAATAAAAAAGTTTTAGATTTAGGGGATGGGCAGTTGGTGCAATGGGTTGAATTCCCATTTGGAACATTTGCCTTCCACGTTGTAGAGTCTTGTTTGAATCCTGGGCATTAGCAGGGAGTTGGATCAGAAGTGGAGCAATCGGGCCTTAAATGAGTGGGCACCACAATGCTGGCCCCCACTCTTCATTTTAAATAAATAAATAAATAAATATTTATAAATAATGGTAATAAGTACTAATGATAATAATTACTAAACACGTAGTCTTTCAGTCATTATTCCCTAAGCAATGCAGTAGAACAATTACAGAGCACTTACATTCCATCAGGTTTATAAATAATCTGGGGGGAGCCGGCGCTGTGGCAGAGCGGGTGAAGCCACCGTCTGCGGTGCGAGCGTCCCACATGTGCGCAGATTCGAGTCCTGGCTGCTCCACTCCCAATCTAACTCTCTGCTGTGGCCTGGGAAGGCAGTGGAAGGTGGCCCAAGTCCTCGGGTCCCTGCACCCGCATGGGAGACCCAGAAAAAGCTCCTGGCTCCTGGCATCAGATCGGCACAGCTCCAGCTGTTGCAGTCAATTGGGAAGTGAACCAGCGGGTGGATGGAAAACCTCTCTCTCTCTCTCTCTCTGCCTTTCTTTCTCTCTCTGTGTAACGCTAACTTTTGAATAAATAAATAAATATTTTAAATAAAATAATAATAACCTGGGGGCCAGCATGTGGCAGAGCAGGCTAAGCCACCAAGTCTGAGCACCAGGTCTGGTCCCAGCTGCTCCACTTCTGAACCAGCTCCCCGCTCGTGGGCCTGGGAGAGCATCCGTGCCTGGGCTCCTGCCGAATGGAATTCCTAGCTCCTGGCTTCACCCCAAGCCTGGGCCAGCCAGCCAGCGTTCAGCCATCTGGGGAGTGAACCAGTAGATGGAAGATACCTTTCTTGTTCGCTCTCTGGCTCTGTCTTTCAAATAAATAAATCTTAAAAAACAAATCTCATGCTCCACGTTGGAGTGTCGGGGTTTGACTCCTGGTGCCACATCTGACGCAGTTTCCTGCTGAGGAGGACCCGGGAGGCAGCAGCAGTAGCTCAAGAAGCTGGGAGACCTGGATTGAGTTCCCGTCACAGCCTCAACCCAGCCCTCGGGAGCATCCGGAGTGAACCAGTGAATGTCAGCTCCATCTCCTCCACTCTCTGCCTTTCAAATAAATACTTTTTAAAATTCGTTTTATTTGTTTCAAGAGCAGAGATACAGAGTGAGAGACAAAGAGAGAGAGAGAGAGAGAGAGATCTTTCTTCTGCTGGTTCGCTCCCCAAATGGCCATAATGGCCAGGGCTGGGCCAGACCAAAGCCTGGAGCCAGGAGCTCCTTCTGGTCTCCTACCTGGGTGCAGGTGTCCAGCACTGGCCATCCTCTGGTGCTTTCCCAGGTGCATTAGCAGGGAGCTGGATAGAAGTGGAGCAGCTGGGACTCAAGCCAGTGTCCATGCGGGATGCCGGCATTACAAGTGCAGCTTTGCCTGCTACTCCACAATGCTGGTAGCCCCAGTAATAATTTCTTTTTACGGTGATCTGTGTAGCCAGTGTTGTGGCACAGCAGGTTAAGCAGCTGCCTGGGATGCCAGCATCACATGTGAGTGCCGGCTCCAGCGGGAAAGCAGTGGAGGCCCTGTCATGGCCCGTGGGCCTGGGCTCCTGCACACACGTGAGAGCCCAGGATGGAGTCCCCGGCTCCTGCTTTCGCTGGTCTGGCCCTGACCATGTTGGCCATTTAGGGAATGAAGCAGAGGATGGAAGAGCTTTCTCTCTTTGTCTCTCCCCCTCTCTCTGCCTTTCAAATAAATAAATAAAATATTTTTAAAAGAAAAAGTAATTTAGGACAGATTTAAAGTGTATGGAAGGAGGTGAGCATTGTGGTACAGCAGGTTAACCCGCCACTTGGGACGCCCACATCCGTGTCCGCTGGTTGAGGCCCAGCCCAGCAGTCCAGCTTCCATTGGACAGAAGCAGAACACCCAGGACTCAAACAGGTGTTCCTGTATGGAATGCCAGCGCCGGCCTGCTCTGAGCAGAGAATTTCTAAAATTATTTGTTTACTGTCATTTATTGGGAAGCAAAAAGACAGAGAGAGAGATCTTCCACTCACTGGTTCACTCCCCGAATGCTCTCCACAGCCACGGCCGAGCCAGGCTGAAGCCAGGAGCTTGGAACACATTCCAGGTGTCCCACGGGGTGACCTTGCTTGAGCCATCACCTGCCGCCTCCCAGCTTGGGCGTCAGCAGCAACTGGAGTCAGAAGTGGGGCTGGGAGTGGAACCCGGAACTCCAGTGTGGAACGCAGGTAGCCCTGGTGGTTTCTCAACCATTGCCCCATGCCGCCCCACCCCCACCCAGACACCTGACATGTGCTAAGCAGATCAGTAGCTACAGAGGGAAGAGTGATCCCAGGAAGTAGGTGCTGCCAGGTGGTGTTCACCGCCCCGGGGTGGAGGTGGGGGTGACTCCTACAGAGGAGATGGACCCAGGGACCAGGTGGGGGCATCTGGGGACTGTGCAGCCAAGGAAGGACCCTGGGCAGGGGTGACACCTGAGAAGTCAAGCCACCCCTCCAAGGCCAAGATTCCTTCTCTGTCTCCCTTCCCTCCCCACCCAAGCCCTCCCCTCAGGCCCCAGCCCACCTCCTCCCGGAAAGGCCCCAGTCAAAGGTGGACCGAAGACAAAAGGAGCCTCAATAAACTCATTAAACCGCTCTGTGGGGGCAGCCAGGAAGGGAGGGACAATGGCTGCCGCTCTCCCTGCTGGGGCCCGGGGCAAAGATTCCGCTCAGCTCCGGAGGTCACTGCAGGAGCAGCCCCAGCCCCGAGCCGAGCCGCCGTCCACCCTCCCGGCACCAAGCCAGGGCAGGCTTTTGGGATCTGCCGCCCGAGCTCCATGCCAGCGCTGTTAATGAAGGGTTAGTAGGATCATGGATGGGAGGGGCAGGTGCTAGGGCCCGGCAAGTTAAAGAGCTGCCTGCTACGTCCTGCCCTGCTTCCAGTCCTGTTCCTACTGTGCACCTGGGAGGCAGCGGAAGGCGGCCCCACCACCCCTGCGGGAGACACAGAATTCCAGGCTCCTGCTTGAGCTGTTACTGGTATTTGGGGAATGAATCAGTGGAACTCTGTGGCTCTGGCTCTGTCTGTCATTCTGACCTTTTAAGTAAATAAATAAATTATATATATATATATATATGTATGTATGTATATTATAGGTGTTGTGGATGGGAGTTAGGGGCCTGGGTTTGAAGTCTTGCTTTTCTGTGCGGCCTGCTGTGTGATCGCACATCCTCCCTGTCCCCACTCTGAGCTGCACCCTGCTCTCCTGGATTCTTTGTCTTCCAGCTCTGCTGGGCACTGGCTCCTGTTTATTTCTAGACTGAGATACAAAATTATCTTCTATCTTCTTTTTAAAAATGTTTTAAAGGATTTATTTCTTTGAAAGAGTTACAGAGAGGGAGACACAGAACCAGAAAGAGAGATCTTCCACCTGCTGGTTCACTCCCCAGCAGCAACAACCAGGGCTGGGCCTGCCTACAGAGGTGACCGTTTTGTATAGGCTCTTTGTGTTGGCGGCTTTGAAAGACCCCACAAATGGACAATGGAGGTAAAACAACCAGACATTCCTGGTCCCAAGCCCCGGGTGCTACAGTCCCATTATAAAGTTATGATGTGGCCAGCGCCACGGCTCACTAGGCTAATCCTCCACCTGCGGCGCCAGCACACCGGGTTCTAGTCCCAGTCGGGGCACTGGATTCTGTCCTGGTTGCTCCTCTTCCAGGCCAGCTCTCTGCTGTGGCCAGGGAGTGCAGTGGAGGATGGCCCAGGTGCTTGGGCCCTGCACCCGCATGGGAGACCAGGAGAAGCTCCTGGCTCCTGGCTACAGATCAGTGCAGTGCAGCCATTTGGGGGGTGAACCAACAGAAAAAGGAAGACCTTTCTCTCTGTCTCTCTCTCTCACTGTCCACTCTGCCTGTCAAAAAAAAAAAAAAAAAAAAAAGGCCGCCGTGGCAAAAAAAAAAAAATTATGATGTATTTATTCTGAGGCTATGGTTCAATTCCATCTGATAATAACTTGGCTAGTTTGGGAGACCTGGAAGACGTTTCTGACTTGTAGCTTCAGTTTTGGCTGTTGTGAATATTTGCAGAGTGAACCAGTGGATGGAAGATCTTTGTCTCTTCCTCTCTCTCTGTCGCTCGCTCTCTCTCTGTTGCTCTGCCTTTTAAATAAATAAATAAATCTTTTAAAAAATAATTTTTGTAGGGGCTAGCACTGTGACTTAGTAGACTAAGACTCCCTGTGGCACCGGCATCCCATATGGGCACTGTTCGAGTCCCAGCTGCTCCTCTTCCAATCCAGCTCTCTGCTGTGGCCTGGGAAAGCAGTAGAAGATGGCCCAAGTCCTTGGGCCCCTACACACACGTGGGAGACCCGGAGGAAGCTCCTGGCTCCTGGCGTCAGATCGGCGCAGCTCCGGCCATTGTGGTCATTTGGGGAGTGAACCAGCAGATGGGAGACTCTCTCTCTCTCTCTGCCTCTCCTCTCTCTGTGTAACTCTGACTTTCAAGTAAAATAATTAAATCTTTTAAAAAAATTTTTTTAAATATTTATGTGGGGCCAGGACTGTGGCAAAATGGGTTAAAGCCCTGGCCTGAAGTGTCAGCATCCCGTATGGGCACCAGTTCTAGTCCCAGCTGCTCCACTTCTGATCCAGCTCTCTGCTATGGCCTGGGAAAGCAGTAGAAGATGGCCCAAGTCCTTGGGCCCCTGCACCCACGTGGGAGACCCAGATGGAGCTCCTGGCTGCACCTCGGCCCAGCCCTGGCTGTTGTGGTCATTGGGGAAGTGAATCAGTGGGTGGAAGATCGACCTCTTTCCTCTGTCTTGGGCCACCTTCTGCTGCTTTCCCAGGCCATTAGCAGACAGCCTGAATCAGAAGTGGAGCAGCTGGGACTCGAACTGTTGCCCATATGGGATGCCGGCACTGCAGGTGGCAGTTTTACCTGCTACACCACAGCGCTGGCCCTAACCATGCATATTTTTAAGGAGCCAGAGCACACCGTGTGCAATAAAACAGCGATCTCTTGTTTCCATACGGAACTCTGCCAGGAGCAGCCTAGCGCCCTGCCAGCGCTGGTCTTGTGGACCAGGGATCTCGGGACGAGCCTTGCAGGCCAGTATTGTGGCCCAGAGGGTTACACTGTGGCCTCCAGTGCCATCATCTGTTGTCAGAGTGCCAGTTCAAGTCCTGGCTGCTCCACTTCTGGTCCAGATCCCTGCTAATGCAACTGAGAAAGCAGAGGCTGAATGATTGGCCCTATGGTATAGAAGGTAAAGCTGCGCCTGCACCCATATGGGTGCTGGTTCAAGTCCAGGCTGTTCTTCCTCCCATCCAGCTCCCTGCTGTGGCCCAGGAAGGCAGTAGAGGATGACCCAAGTGCTTGGGCCCCTGCACCCACATGGGAGACCTGGAAGAAGTTCCCAGCTCCTGGCTTAGGACCAGCTCAGCTCCAGCCATTGTGGCCACTTGGGGAGTGAACCAGCAGATAGAAGACCTCTCTATCTCTCCCTCTCTGTACCTCCGCCTTTCCAATAAATAAATGAAAGCCGAGGTGGATGGCTCAAGTGCTTGGGCCCTGCCACCCTAGTAGAAGACCCACATAGAGTTCCAGCCTGGTCATTGTGGCCAACTGGGGAAGTGAACCAGTGGATGGAAGAGATATCTCTCTCTCTCTCTCTCTCTGTGTATCTGTCTTTTCTCTTCTCTCTCTCACTCTGTCTTTCAAATAAATAAAATAAAAAAAGGGAACAGGGTCTGGGAGCCTCGGGGCTGGGTTAGCCGTCAGCCTGCCTGAGCAGCCAGTGCCAGGTTAGCAGAGTGAAATCAAGGAGGCCGCGGCTCAAGTCCCGACTTTCTGGCCCTTTGGTGCCAGGGCAAGTGACCTCTGAGCGTCGATGCTTCATCTGGTGTTGGTTCTCTTGCCTGTAGAAAAAGAAGATAACACGATTTGGAAAAAGGGTTCAAAAGGATCAGGCTACAGAGGCTAAAGCTGTGTGACGTGCCTCTCCTGCACAGAGCCGACGCTCAGTACTTGGTAAAGTCAGTCTTCCTGAGCCCGCTGGTGTGCACACAGCTACACAACGCTGTGTTTTGGAAAGTTCTTGCTCCCAGAGGGAGCTGGGCCCCAGGGTCACGGAACATCTGGCCACCTCCCTGCCTGCCAAGCTTTAGGTGGGGCTGAGGAGGCCATTCTCTTTGCCCCGCCCCTTGCAGCCTGTTTGGGATCAGAGCACCTAGGTGGAGTTGCTACAGTTGCGGAGTGACACCCCAGGAATCCAGGAAGCTGGAGAGGAAGGGAGAGGGCCGTCTCGCACACTAGAACTGAAGCTGCCGTGTGCTGAGCCCGAGCCGTGCTGGGTGGCAGCGATTCTGAGCACTGGAGCGCAGGTAATCTTTGTGTGTGTGTGTGTGTGTGTGTTTTAAGATTTAGAAGTATTTACATTCTTTATAGGAGAGGGAGAGGGAGAGAGGAGAGAGAAACAGAGCGCCCATCTGCTGGTCCATTCTCCAAATGTCCTCAACCGCAGAGGCTGGGCCAGACTGAAGCTTGGAGCCTTAGAGCTCAACCCAGGCCTCCCACACTGAAGGCAGGAACCCAGCTACTCGAACCATCGTCTGCTGCCTCCCGGGGTCTGCATTAGCAGGAAGGCAGCAGTCAGGAGCCGGAGCTGCGCCCTGACCCAGGCACTCTGATGAGGAATGAGTGTTCCAACGCCCATTCTTGGGTCTTTTTTGTTTTACATGATGGTTATCTTGCTGGTTACAAATTTTTAATTTATCACTAATTTTTATTTTATTTGAAAAGCAGAAAGGGAAGGAGAAAGATTTCTTCCATCTGCTATTCGCTCCCCAGATGTGCAGCTGAGCACTCCCTCTGGTTCTCCTACCTGGGTGACGAGGACAAGGTTTTCAGCCATCACTACTGCCTCCCGGGGTCCCCACACGCAGGGAGCTGGAGTCTGAGGTGCAGCCCTGACTGGAACCCAGGCATTCCCACACAGGATGCAGGGGTCCCACGAGCATTGCTGTTCTGTGCCAAGTGCCCGCCTCTTTTCTCTCTCTCTCTCTTTTTTTTCCCTTAAGATTTATTTATTTGAGGCCAGTGCCACAGCTCACTAGGCTAATCCGCCACCTGCAGCGCCGACACCCCAGGTTCTAGTCCCAGTCGGGGCACTGGATTCTGTCCCGGTTGCTCTTCCTCCAGTCCAGCTCTCTGCTGTGGCCCAGGAAGACAGTGGGGGATGGCCCAAGTGCTTGGGCCCTGCACCCGCATGGGAGACCAGGAAGAAGCACCTGGCTCCTGGCTTCAGATAGGCGCAGTGCCGGTCATAGCGGCCATTTGGGGGGTGAACCAATGGAAGGAAGACCTTTCTCTTTGTCTCTCTCTCTCACTGTCTAACTCTGCCTGTCAAAAAAAAAAAAAAAAAGATTTATTTATTTGAATGGCAGAAAGAGAGAGAGAGAGAATTTTCCATCTTCTGGTTCACTCCCCAAATAGCTACAACAGCCAGGGCTGGGCAAGACCAGAGCCAGGAGCCAGGAGTCAGGAACTCCATCTGGGTCTGCAACGTGGGTGGCAGGGACCAGTTGGGCCCTCTTCTGTTGCCTTCCCAGGCACATTAACAAGGAGCTGGACAGGAAGCACAGGGTGACAGAATGACCTTCCCTGCCCCTTTTGTCTTTTAATGTGATATAGTCACAAAGTTCAAAATTCAAGATGTGGGGGAAGGTATTTGGCACAGCAGCTAAGAAGCCACTAAGGACAGCTGCACCCCATATCCGAGTGCATGGTTTGAACCCTGGCTCCCCTTCCCATCCTGTGTCCTGCTGATGTACACCCTGGGAGGCAGCAAATGACGGCTCAACTACTAGGGTTGGGGCTACCCACATGGGGGACCTAGAATGGGCTCTGGACTCCTGGCTTCAGTCTGGTCCAGCCATATCTGTTGTGAGCATTTGGAGAGTGAACCAGCAAGATCTCTGAGTCTCTGTCCTTCAAGTAAAATGAAAATGGATAAATAAAAAATGTGTTTAAAAAATTCAAAATGTATAACATGGACGAGAGAAAAAAAATCAGATCTCCCTCCCAGCCAGTCCTCTGGCCGCTCAGTCCCCTTCCAGAGAGAACCCTGAGATTTGTTTCCTTAACACGTGCGCGCATGCACACACACACACACACACACAAATCAGTGAATGTGTGTCTTTTTGTTGTTAAAGATTTTATTTACTTATTTATTTGAGAGGTAGAGTTACAGAGAGTGAGAAGGAGAGACAGAGAGGTCTTCCATCTGCTAGTTTACTCCCCAAATGACTGCAACAGCCAGAGCTGAGCTGATCCGAAGCCAGGAGCCAGGAGCCAGGAGCTTCTTCCGGGTCTCCCAGGTGGGTGCAGGGGCCCAAGGACTTGGGCCATCTTCTACTGCTTTCCCAGGCCACAGCAGACAGCCAGGACTAGAACCTGCGACCATATGGGATGCGGGCGCTGCAGGCGGAGGATTAACCTACTGTGCCATGGCGCTGGCCCCATCTGCTCCCCTTTCCCACCGACGGTAACATACTAACCAGGGGCTCTGGACTTTGTTTTCCCGCTTCCCCAGCTCTGGTTCCCTCGGCTTTTATGACTGCAGGGCATTCCAAGGTATGGCTGTAGCCTTTGTCCCCAGCAGCCTAAAGAAGTCATTAGGTTGTTTCCTTTTGCTTTTACAAACCGAATTGTCCTGCGAGAGGCCTTGTTCACGTGTCACCTGACAGCTGTGCGGCCACTGCGGAGGGTAGACTCCTTCAAGGGGAACTTCTGAGTCAACCTGTGTGCTTTTAACAGCTGCTCTGATGGCTAAACTGCTGTCCAGAGAAGCTGCATCCATTGAAGCCGCCACCAGCAGAGACAGTGCCTCTTCCCACCCCGGCTCAGGCACGCAGCCAGGGCGCAGGGAGGTGGAGTCTAGAGCGCCCCCGACGTGCGTCTGGCACGGCGCCTCTGAGTTACTTCCCAGTTAGTCTTTCCTTTTCAGAGAGGTCCCGTTCTGGCCGGAAGCTGGACCGGGAAGCAGACCCAGGCGCTCTGGTCCGGCATGGCGGGGTCCCCGGCAGCACGCTAACTGCTGCCCTACACCAGATTTCCACCCCTCCCACCAAGTTTATGGGGTACCCTCGAATTATTACCCATCTTACAGGTGTAACTCCCGAGACTGGGGCTTCACGATGAGGTAACACTCAGTTGTTCTCCCCCACCACCTGGGGCACAGCCTAAAGCCAAGACACTCGTGACTGTCAAACGTCTCGAGTGAGCAGGGTCCCTCAGAGCGCCCCAGGAATGTGCAGGCTGGAGGGGACGGTGGGGGCCTCTGCCTTTTCTTCCATCTGGGAGTCCTCGGCTTTTATCAGCGGTGACGTCATTGATTTATGCCTCGGATCCGTCTCATTAACAGGTGACTAATGGTGTGGAATATGCAGAAGACAGGGACCATCGCGGACTGTCTCAGAGGCTGCAGAGCCACGCCCCTGGGTGACAGTGGGCGGATGATACGTTTTGTGTGATCTATCAAGTGCATTTGTAAAAAGCTGAATGAGTTGCCAGCTTCTAAACACCCAGAGATCTCATATAAAAATTGTATCTCTATTTTACTGTTAGAAAAATCAAAGCTGGGAGGGGGAGGCAGGGTACAAAGGAAGACGGTTAATGGCACAGCGGAGCGGGCGGAGAAGGGAACTGGCGTCTGGTGTTCTACGCACTGGAGGGTAACTACAGGTAAGAACACTTAATTGTAAATTTCAAAATAAGGAGTAGAGTGAATACTCCCATCACAAAGAATATAATTATACATGTTCCAGGTGATGGTTTTGCCAATGACCCTGATCTGACCCTTACAATGTATAGGCGTATTGAAGTGTCACACTGTATCCCATAAGTATGTACAAGCATTATGTGTCAGTTAAACAGGAAAAATACTTTTTAAAAAAAGAGCACTTGGGGCGGATTAAGCCTGGAACGCCTGCATCCCATATCAGAGCACCTGGTCTGGGTCTCACCCCCTCTGATTCTTTTTTTTTTTTTTTTTTGACAGGCAGAGTGGACAGTGAGAGAGAGAGACAGAGAGAAAGGTCTTCCTTTTGCCGTTGGTTCACCCTCCAATGGCCGCCGCGGCCGGCGCGCTGCGGCCGGCGCACCGCACTGATCCGATGGCAGGAGCCAGGAGCCAGGTGCTTTTCCTGGTCTCCCATGGGGTGCAGGGCCATCCTCCACTGCACTCCCTGGCCACAGCAGAGGGCTGGCCTGGAAGAGGGGCAACCGGGACAGAATCCGGCGCCCCGACCGGGACTAGAACCCGGTGTGCCGGTGCCGCTAGGCGGAGGATTAGCCTAGTGAGCCGCCGGCCTACCTCCTCTGATTCTAACAGCAGCTGATGGCTCAAGTACTTGAGTTCCTGCCACGCTATTTGGGGCGTGAACCAGCAGATCTCTCTCTCCCATTTCTGTCTCTGTCTTTCACATGAATACATACAAATCTTTACAAAAGAAAAGAAGGAAGAAAAACCAAAGGCCTGGCAACCACAGGGTTCCCACATCAAATACACTGGTGTAGCAAAGCCCTTGGCCGTCACCAGGACCCTGGGGGCCCCAGTGCCCCCTTTTGGTGACAACCCTGCTGCACCCACGGCAAAGGTCGCCCCTCTGGAAATCTAACAGCAGAAAGCAGTTTTGCCTGCTCTTGTACTTTATACGATGAAATTGCCATCACACAGCGTCTGCTATTCTGTGTCTGAACACCGTGCTTGTGGGCTCCATCCACAGCACTCCGCAGCTGCTGGTCATGTATCCTCACTGTCCAACCGTCACAGCGCGCCTCCTGCTGCGGACAGTGTTTCCAGATGTTGGCTGTGATGGATCTCGCTGCACGTGACACTCTCACCTACACACCTCTCACACCAGGCCGCAGCAGTGCCGCTGGTGACACGGCCAGGAATCAAATTCCCGGGAGCCGAGTGGGCCCGTGCCTTGCCCAGCACAGTTTTCCTCGCTGGTTGTACTGACCGGCCTCCCAGGAGTTGTGGTGAACTCACCGGGTGCCCTACTCCTTGTTATGATCTGGCAGGCCCCGAGAGGCACTGGGCTTTGCGAACCCTGGACAAGGCACCTTCGGAAGGTCCTTCTAACTCCTAACCTCCATCCTTCCTGAAACAAATGGGAAGCCAAAGGCTCTCAAAAGGGTACCTGCTTTCCCCTCCTCCTCCGTCATTCTCCACTGGGGATCCTTTTCAACACGCCCCTGCCTTTCGGGAGCCCGGAGACCTGGAGGTGGGGAAGGAGTTGGCCAGATGTGGGAGGGGGGTGACTGAAGAACGTTCTACACTGAGGGTAAGCAGCAGCGCATACTGAAATCTGGATGCCGAGGGAAGAAGACCCGTTTCTAATGAGGGCAGGGCTGCCTAAAGGATTTGGGACCCATGGGGGATGGGCTGCGGGCACCGCAGTGGAGACCAGGATCTGAAAACACCGAGCAGATTAAGGGAGAACCTGCCCCCAGCCGACAGTGCCCCTCTGGAGAGAGGCAGAGAGCTAGGAAGAGTGGCTGTGGGTTGGAGGGGGGTGGGAAGGGAAGAGCCTGGGGGAGGGGGAGGGGGCGAGGGGTGTGTGTCCCATTGTCATGTAAATATCCCCTCCCGGCGGCTCCCGGGCAGATTTAAATTCCCGGCAATTGGGGAAGTCGCAGTCCTCAGCTTCCTCCTGCCCGGCGCTGGGGTCAGCGTTTCCTGGGAGCATGGCCCCCAAGCGCCCGTCTTTGCTCCTTCCTCACGCGAAGAAGCCAAGAGCAGCTCCTGGCCCGAGGCCGGCGGACACATCGGCCTCTCGGGGTTTGTTGACCGGAGGTATGTCCATGCGGCAACTTTTTTTTTTTTTTAGACTTAAAGAGATTTACGAGGATCGGCACCGCTTTTTTCTCCCCCTCCCAACCATCCATTCTTGAGATGGGACCCCAAGCTCCCTGTCGGGTTTCACTCGTGGAGTTGAGTGGATTCGGCTTGTGGGAAGGGGGAGCCAGAAGGGGCGGAAGTGAGACCCAGAGCACATGGGCGCTCATCCCCGCCGCGAGCTCCCTCCTCTGGGGCTCCGTGGCTGGGCAAGGGGAGCAGCAGCCAGCCGAGGGCTCTTCCTCCGTGCAAATCGGCCAAATTCCGGGTCCCAGTGCCTCTATCTTTCCGCTCCGACCTGCTCCCCTGTGTCTGACGCCAGTGACCCACAGCTCTGACCTGAACTGCCACCTTCTCCTCCCTTCTATCCAAGCCAAGCCAGTCACGTGACTCACCCCCAGGTCTCAGGTCGGGACTGGACTTCCGGGTCTCGCGCACCTGGGCCCTCCGACCTCTCCAGGTTCTGCTCTGGACACGCACCTGGACGCCTCCCTCACACCCTGAACCACTCCTCAGCTCCTGCTCTGCTCTGTCCTCTCATCTGGCCCCGGATGCCCGCTTGCTCCGGGCCGGGGCTATTTCCTCTGTGCCTACCCTGTCCCGGGGAGCCCCCCTCCAAGCTCTCTTGAGGTCTTGTCCTTTGAGCTTCTGCTCCAGGCCATCAGGAGTCCCCTAATGTGCCCTGCTGGCATCATCTCACCCCCGCCCCCACTAGACCAGCAAACTTGGAGCTGAGGACTGTATGTTGCTGACAAAGAGCTTGGAACAGGACACAAAGTTGACTGTGGTGGTGCCTGGGGTCTCTCTGGTAGGGTGGGAGATGGCGGGGGCTTTGGGTAGGCAGGAGCCACCGAGTGGGTCGCTGGGGAGTGGGGAAGGAGCACTGGGCTCGTCTCCGCCCTCCCGCGGATCCCTTCTGCCGTTTCACTTCCACTGCGTCCCAGGCCCACCACGCGGGATGCAGAGGCCTCCCAGCGTGGGCAGCGGCAGGGGTTGAGACCCGTCCTGTGGCCAAGTCCTCTTCCCTGACAGGGTTTAGCGGGGCTGTTTCTCAGGCCTGCCAGTCTCAGCAGAGCCCTGAAGCAGGCGAGTGGTGCAGAAGCACAGAGCAGCACAATGTGGCTCAGGCCTGCCTCCTGCCATTCAGCTCCCTGCGGCGCTGGCAGAGCGGAAGGGCGAAGAGGTGCAGCCTGAGCCCTCCTGAACCCTAGCAACTGCTGTGCAGCTGGTTGCCGACAGCGGGTACCCCACGTATCAGAGGGGGAGAAAGGAGGCGCAAGGCATGGGCGCCTGGTCAAGGCCGGGCTGCTGAGATTTCCCAGGCTCCTCTCTGGTTCCCCTCGTTCATCCCTCTTCAAAGGAGGCTGGGGAGGGGAGAGGGTCAGGAGCCGACGCCAGCTGCTGGTGGGAGCCCGCGGGGGAGACCCAGTACTTGGGGCAGGCAAGTGCTCTCTCGGGGTGCCCGGGCCGCCCCCGTTTCCTGAAACGCGCCCCTTGCTTTGTTTCTCTTCCTGATGCGCCTCTCCCAAGGGCTGCTGGGAGGCTGGGGAAGCCCGCTGGCTCCTGCGAGCGCTGCAGGGTGCCGGGGCCCCCGTGCGTGCCCGGGAACCGGGGTCCCCAGTGCCGTCGTGGGGCGCAGCCTGTGTGCGCGTCCCTGAGCATGGTGCGGCCAGGAGCCAACTGCGACTTAAAAAATAACAAAGTCGGAGTCCTATCCGCTTCAGTGAGGGCGAGCGTGGTTTTGTGCGTGGGTTTGCGCCGCTCGCGTGGACAAAGTGGAAAAATCGCTGCAGCGCCAGGGCCTTGTCCCGCGCCGGCCTTCGCGGGTGGGACGAGGGTAAAAGCTGCCTGGCGCTGGGGCAGACTGAGCGAGGACGACAGAGCCGTCCACCCGCGGGGCCGGCCGTCCTAGTCCCCGCGACTCCGCTCAGTGCCACCACTGGGCAGCCGCGACTCGGCCACGGTGAAAGCGTCCGCCTCGCCGAGTCGGCAGATGCTGCACACCGGGGTTTTGTTTTTCCCTCTCTTTTTCCTCGGGAGCTGGCTGTCAGACATGAGCAGTGTATCCCAGATGCGAATAACTTCCTTCAGAAAGGTGTCCACTGCGAGAGCTGGGCTCGCGGAGGGACAGGTTCACGCGCGGCCGCGTTCGGGAAAGTTCCAGCAAGTCAGCTGTGGTTCCAACCAGAGCGTTTCCGGCCACTCGTGACGTGAACAGCATCCGAGCCTCGGGAGCCGGCAGGACCTTGTGGGTGCTGGGACCCTCGCGGTCCGCGTCGCGTCGCGTCGCCCGCGCGGGGGTCGCCGCCTGCCCCCCGCGGACCCGCCAAGGGCCCCAGCGTCACGGCTGACTGGGCTGTCACTTCCTCAGAGGGACGCGGGCTGCGGGGCGCGGGGCCGCTTCGGATTCAGAGAGCGGCCCCTCGGAGAGAATCGCCCAGGGCACACCCGTCTCCCCCGGTCTGGAAAGACAGGACGAGGGGCGCCGGCCGACTCGCAAACTCCCGCGAAGAGGGAGGCGCCCAGGGGGCCCCCGGGCTGGCGCACGTCCCGGGGAGCAGCCCCGGCTCCTACGAGGCCTGCGCCGCCGGGGGCCCGCGAGCTCGCAGCCCGCGGACAGGGGAAGCCGCGCCGCCACCACGTGACGCGCCGCCGCGCGAAGCCCCGCCCCTCGGCCGCCGCGCGCCAGTGTCCCGGGTCGGGCCTGAGA